TAAATAATGAAATGCAAGTAAGTTAGATTCAGTAGCAAAATAAAGAAGTATGGTGTTATGCCTCTCATTTGGCTCAGCACTATCCAAAAAGTATTTTTAGTGCAGGGGAAAAAGTTAACTGTGACACCATTGTGTTAACCAAGACTTTGTACAAATCTCCTTTTATCAAGTGAAGTTCCTAGTAAAAAAATATATATACATATATATATATTTTACTCCTTGCCTGAATGTCATTACAGCACAGGTAGTGCATCCTCCATGTCGCAGGCAAAAAATAAAATGCAATAAAAACACAAACTAAAGCAGTGACAGCTGCAGAGTTGTGCTTTAGAGGATGTAGGCATGTGGGAAGAAGAGGGAATGGCATGTAAATGAATTGTTGCACGCTTAATTAACACAAAATCCTCTTGTCTTCAGGCTCTGACCGGGGCAATTTGTTAGTGTTCAGCTGGAATTGTGAGAAAACGATTAATTAAGCATTCAAAATGAAAATGAGTTGAGATGATTGTCCCCTTTTCACCTCAGAAAAAAATAAGGTGCAAGATTTTGGGTTTTGCTCCAAGAAGGAGGGGTAGTGGGTGGGGGTGGGGATTCTGACTCATGGGGCGAAGGGGAAGAGGACTGATAGTGTACTCACCTCTAAATGACTGAGACCAAAGGCTGGGCTATAACGGCTCTAATTACACTCTGGAAATTGCAGTCATTGTGCAGTAAATAAAAGAGGCAACAAGGTCAGAGGAGTGTGTGTGTGTGTGTGTGTGAGGAAAAGATGGAGCTAGAGAGCGACTGCTGGGTTTCACTACTGTACACGGGGTTCCCATAAATCTAATTTTCTTTCAATTATGCACACACAAATTAAGGCACGGGTGATAAAAACCCTGTGAGTTGAATGTGAAATGATGAGAGGACTATTACGAGGTCCGTGTTATATGGTCTGTGGGGGATATGAAACTGCGCAGTTATGAGCCAGCAAATAGACTCATCCCATTCAGAGCTCATTCACACTGTGGCTTATCCATAGCAGGCTATTTACAGCATGTCAAACGCCTGAAGGGGCTTTGATTTCCTCCTGATGGGCTGGTTGGTTGGAAAGTGGATGTTAGAGAAGTTTGACAGATGCAAAAGGAAGATTGATGCRGCTTCAAAGCCGCTTTGGAAGCTGCTTACTGGAGTGGGAGATGGCACTAGTTAAATCAGCCATCTTTGAAGCGGGGCAGTGACTGCATGTGAACGGTGTGTAAGAGAGGGGAAAAAAAGGTGTGAAGCAAAGGGAGGGAATTAGCAAGTTGATGTAAGACTGTTTGGAGAGTACGGTTGAAAGATATTTCAATCTGTTTCAGCATATGGTCACACTAAATCGGGTTAGGGTTGAATACTGCACTGTGTACTGTAATGTTCCGACAACCTTATTTAGCTGCACCAGTCCAATTTACTATGAACTAAAAGTAATTACCTTTGCCAAGGTTAAGAAACTACTAAAAACAAACTAGTGTCAGAAATGCTATGGAATACTTAATAAACTTGACATTCATTTTGCACTCTAAACCTATGTTTTTAGCCTTTCTGCTTTATTGCAAAGATGGCAAGTATTCAGATGGACAAATGTTCACTCTGTTTCTGATTCCTAATCACTTTTGTAAAACCTGTATCTCAATGGGATGCAGAAGTTTGTGACAAATTGCAAAAGGCATCCGTGAGAGTTTTTCCAAGTTTCTGTCTCTAAATGGAGTTGCTGGGTGAATGGAAAACCTCTAGTTTACTTTCTTTGAGTTGGTCCCATACGTACCAGTTTAATGCAATTTCAACTGAAAACTTGGATATATTCTCTCAATTTTATCTCCAATCAGTCACCAAAAACTGCAACCCAGTGAGATGCAGAATTAAGTGGCAAATTCTAACCATACTAGTAGCATAAAAAAACACATCAAAACCTAAGAGTTTCAACAATGTCTCTAGATTCTGTCAAAAAAAATAAGTAGGTCCTCTGGACAGGTTCTTTAATGAAACATCATCTCTCCTCCAGGAGAATTATTCAGTCTGAGGAGTTTCAGATAAACTCAGCCTTATAAGCAGTGCCTCCACATGGTGGACAAACAGGTTAAAGGATGATTATCAACACTGTTTTTTCATAGCAAAGGAGGACCATCAGTCTAACAATAGATTGTTATTATCTCGATTGTTCACATCATAGAGAACCATACCAGATACTGTCCTACCTTTAAGCATCACTGCTCACATAAAATCAGCTAATTAAACCTACTAACTCTGAGCTTGAAACTTGCAGCTCTGGACATATTTTGATCTTAAAACTAATCATCAGGTAGGAAGAAGGTCCTGGGTTCGATCCCTGGTTCGGACCTGGGGTCTTTTGATGCAGAGCTTGCATTTATGCTTGTGCTTGTGTGAGGTTTCTCCAAAATGTGCTTTAAAAAGCAACAAATGTTTTTGTTAATGCTGCATGAAAGAAGCACATGATCTACCAATTTAATGCAAATTGAACAGAACCACAAAAGTTTCCTCAGAGGTGCAGGATTTTATCAGAGTGTAGCTAAAACCATCACCACACATCGCCCMCASAAATACAGACCACATGTGCTCAATGCGCATGGCACACAAACCCAGCAACGTAGCACCGCACACCTTCACAGTCAGGTCCTGACCAACACAATGCCACACAGCGTGATGTGCATGGTGCAGAAAAACAGCGCATCTGTCTCACGCAAGGCCCAACAAAGCGACACACACACACACATTGTCCCACTTTTGACTGATTCCAATTACAAATAAAAAATAAAAAATTGAGACACGTTATTTAGTGGCTGCAATTTGCAACCATCAGATAATGTCTCCTTATTTCGCTGCAGAAGGAGGAGAAGAGAAAAGAGAAAAACATGAAAGCAGAGAAGCGGCATTAGCTGTCAATCATAACATGCCGCCACTACAGTGTTAAATTATTTTTTAATTTAAATGGGGCAAAAATGGATTTGATTCATGCAGAATGTAATGGAAACTATGTCAACGAAACAAAAATGCAGCAAAACAAAGATTGGGAAGTGGGTGGGGTCAGTGAAAGTATTTTTTATTTATTTTTTCATGAAGATGAACAGAACATGAAGCAACACTGACTGTAAACATGATTCATACAAGAAAGCTGCCTGTCAGTCCGTTAATACAATCAAAGAAGACTGACAAACTGATCAGTCAGCAACCAGGCGGCTCACAGGACAGGCTGCCTGTAGCCTGTTTTAGAGCACAGGTAYGTCCCTCAAAGCTGTGAGCTGCAGCCTCACTTACAATTCATGTTTCATTAAAGCTGACTTTTAGTCTGGGAGTAGTCTGTAAAGTGGAATATCTTCGGTATAGAGATCAGGACAGTAAAGATTAATAGGTCAATAAGTTATAAAATTATTTCTATTTATTAACTAAAGATTCAAAGATTAAAATGTGTAGTATCTACAACATGATCATTATTACAAGTGTATTGATTAGGACGAACAAAAACACTGGTTTGGGATCGTTTATTACATAATGTATCACATTATTACATTTTAATTTCTAATAAAAGCAACCACTGCATTTAACAATCACCGCAAAATGTAATAATGTTTTTACATAATGCAGCTGTGAGTGTTACAAAATGCGTTGAAGACTTTTATTACATTTTGTGTCAGTTACTACGAAATGCAGTTTTAGTGCAGTTTCATTACATTTTGAAGCCCGATTTTAAGGCATTATTACATATTGCAGCATTACAGGGATTATGTATAAAAAGTTTGTACATATATGCAATTAAAACTCAGAAAAAAAGTAAGAACTTAAACCAATAGCAGTGCATTGTGTTGTCATACATGCACACACCTTCCTACAGAGCTGATTCTCTTGGTCAGATTGATCTGTGCTATCGGGCAAGATAGCCAGCAGTGTGGGCCACATCTATTCACTGAATAAGTGCTTGGACAAGCTGTTCTTTCAGGGGCCAGCCAGGCAACAATAGCCCCTCTAATAGCTCCAGTTTGTCTCAGTTAAGAGCAACAACTTCCCCCTTCTTTTTCTTTGCTTACCTCACACCACTCTGCCTGTCGGTGAGTTGACCAAATAACTCCTCCGTCTCTTGTATTGGCTTTTCTTCCCGTCACTGATTGCTGTTATTTTTGTCTTTTCTTGCTTTTACCTCTGCGAGAAGCAGAAGCAAATCTGTCTTACGAAATACTGATCCCACAGTACATTTCTTGCTATGATCGTAAATGTGAAGATTGCTACATAAGTGGTGGAAAGAATGGTTATTTCCCTCGTTACATTTTATCTAAAGCACTTGAAGCGAAACTGGTCTGGCGTTTGTCTTGAATTTAACAGTACGTAAAGACAAAAAGATGTTACAATACAGTTTTATATCAAAGCCTTATTTAGAAAGCATARCATTTATTTAGCTTATGACTTTGGTTTTACACTCTGGAAATTTACAATCTGGTTTAGTTCCACTATTCCAACTTGGGATGGAAGTTATATTGATCTTATCAATTGACTAACAATTAATTGATAAGCAGCCATTTTCTTAAAAAAACTGATTTTTCTCTTGTATCAAGAGGGACTTTCCATAACATGAAGGGTTAATCTTTTATGATATGCTGACTTAAAAAAATGAAGCAGATCAATATATTTTTGCCAGCTGTATGAAATACTGACTGAATAAACAGAAAATTGTAGATTTCTCACACGTTATTAAACTGGACATTTTTATAAACTACAAAAAACAAAACAAAAAAACAGAAATCTATTATTACACACAGACACAAAGCATTTACCATGGGGTTGGGCAAAAGCATACTGTGTGCAATTAAGTGACATAAAAACTGTCACCAATTAATACTGTGCACTTTGTGTTTGCTGCCATGTGATGTTGTATTTTTTTGTACAACTTCAAGTAACTTCAAACAGTAAGTTTTTCAATGTAAAAACAATTCTTTGTAAAGTTTTAGTTCCATGTGCCTTCGTGTGATTGGTCTTCTGCACTGCTTCAGGCAATCCCGTTGGATGTCTACAGTCGGGTGGTTGACCCGTCTACGAATGATCCGATGTGATTGGAAGACGACAGTCAGCTTCCTTGAAGCTGATTGGCTGTTCCTGGGTCCGGATCGTGATCTGGATCATCACCAAAATTTAATGGTGTGTTCCTTTGGCCAATACCCACTTGTGGTGAAAATTTCATGAAAATCTGTCCATGCGTTTTTGAGTAATTTTGTCCACAGACAGACAGACAGACAGACAGACAGACAGACAGACAGACAGACAGACAGACAGACAGACAGACAGACAGACTGACATACGCGACCGAAAACATTACCTCCTCCCCTTGGCGGAGGTAATTAAGTGTATTGTTCAATTTCAGCTCACAATAATATAGATCATGGTCATCCAATATGAGCTGAATAACTCTATAGGAGGACAAATGTTGCCATTAAAGCAGTGGTTATCATTAAATTTGCAAATAAATCTGTATTTCCAGATGGCACACATTATATAAGCTATATACCATATATGTGAACTCAAACAAATATCCTTCCACAAAAGAATCAGCTGAATACAAACGGATTACACTGGATGTTCAGGCCACAAAACTTCACAGTAAAATAACTGAAAGCCTACATGCTTCAGCACACTAAATATGAGTTTATTCAAAGCATGTTTGCAATTTTTCCGTAGGAGTCTAACAGGACACAAATACTGATCAGTGCTCAAAGACTTGAGTCTCTGAGAGGCCAGCATGAAGTCTAATTGTATTAGTGGAAACAGGATATGACATTTTTACACTGCAACTAACAAACAGAATAGCTGAGTATCACATATGGAGGATGAATACTAATGAAAAGGCAACRAAGTCTATTTTTCCACATCTCACACTGCAGTGATTTTCAAGGGGATTGTTTTCAGTGTGAAGTAGGATAAATGTGGGACGCCACACACCTGATGCTCAGAAGAAAAACTAATTAAAGGATTCACCATCTATACGCATTTGATTTTTACAAAAAAATAACCTTTTGCCACACATCGTTATATGGTCATAACTAGATTAGGACATTGTGTATCTGGTGTTTACACATGGATTATAGATTAGCCATATTGGCATTGACCTTTGATCTTACTGATCTACTGAGAGCAACTATGTCTCTATAAGCCGCTGTCCATTAGCCGATGACATCAGGCCGCCTTCATCCCCATTTAGCTCCTCAGTCAATACGAGAACATAAACACAGCTCAGCTTAAGGGTCACAAACACACAACCAACATACACTGTCACCACCCCATGAGAATAATGTAGCCTTTTCCCCATTGCCACTCCAGTTTTTGACCGCACTTTCAACATCATGTTCCCTTCATTCGCCTGCATCCAGAGCACAGCTAAGTGATAATTTAGCATCTGTTCATGAGAAAATGTTGCTTGTAAAAATACACCTGTGTGCACAAGGGAGAATTTCTCAAAAGTAATTTAATGGATTTGCATGAAGGTCATATTGTACTTAAAGAGCCATCTCTATGTGTGCAAATTAAGATGTGTTTTGAACTATGCCATAGGCAGCTGGTGCTGTGAACATCATCTCTAATAGATATATATATTTTTAACACTAACAGCGCTTTTGAATAATTCAGCCTAAAACAAATCCAGTGTAGATAACTATAATTACAGCTTGGCACTTCATGAGTGTGATGGAAATATGTTATATAATTCTATGACTGCTAAGTTTATACTGCCTTGACCCATTCCTATTATTGTATCTCTTTTGATAACTGCTACATCTTTTATAATCTGTTCTCATGATTTCTGAGATGACTTTCATGTCTGTAACCTCACTCTTATTTTGATCATCTCTATACGAGCCGTAGCTCTGTCACTGGACCATGTTGACATTTGTTGGTCTGTGATTGGACGCTCACGATCTGCCACCGGATGTAAAACTGTATCTCTGTTCATTGTTCAGCCAGTTGCAGCTTGACAGATTCTCTGATTTGGGTCTGATGAGTTGTTGCTACTTATCTTGCATATGCAAACCTTATTAAATATGACGACCGAAAACCACGCAGTGCACTTTTCTTTTATTCAYGTGTTTCTGCCTTTAAGTGGATATTTCCACAACAATAACGATAATAGTTTTAAATTTTTTGAGGAATTTGCTGGATACTGATTCAAATARCCTGAGCAACATTTGGAACACTGGGAACATTAATAAACTGGGTCATGGGGACCATTTTACTTGCTGCACCGCTGAACGCACAAGTACGTCCAAGAAGAATTTGTGCCTAAAAAGGAGACTGTTTGTGTGAAAGGACTTTGGCTTTAAAAACTTGGATTTAATCCAAAGACTATGGTATTCCTCAGATTGTTCAGTTAAAGTCACTTCATGGTTCTGACATGGTCCTACTACACAATGTTGAAAAAGAAAAAAAAAACAATATAAACAATTTTTTGGGCCAAATAGAGATTCTTGCRTTGTACCAAGAGCACAAAGGAAAGTAACCATTAGTGACACTGTCCTRWAAACTGTATCACTAAGGCTCTTTCAGACTACCAATGCCCTGAAACYCCTCCCATAAAAATTCATTCTGTTTGCATTTTGTATAGCTCAGTCAAAGCTTTCATTGATGATATAATGGTAGGTCTGACCTTCCAAATATTATACTGTACACGAGTTAACTTCTATTTCCCCTCAAAAAAAAGGCATTTTGAGACACACTGTCTACAATCAGTCACAGGAGATGGCCATTAAGCAAACACCAGCAGCACCGGCCTCACTAGTCACTGGTTATAATGAAGAAAATCCATCTAAAAACTTGCTTATTCTATGTTTTGGGAAATGGGAGACCCTAAAGCAAGCCATGTGCAATTTGCAGTTAATGGACTAGAACATGCAAAACTGCTGGCATGTGCTTTCAAATAACTTGATCACATACAGGCTCTGTTACTTTGGCTGCCACCATTCCTAATTCTATCTCAACACTCATCTTTTAATTTTGAATAACAATAATTCAGAAATTTCTGATCATGTGGACATAACTGATAGCCTGGATTCTACTTCTACACCAGCCTTAATTTTAATACAGCCATTGTTAAAACAAACAAACAAAAAAGATGTGTATTAAGGCATAATAACAATGATCTGGTCTTTAGCAGGTGGAGGAAAGAGGGAATGACATCAGCAGTGACCTTAGAGAAACAGTTKTTGCTGCCAATCATTCTGGGAAGGGTTATAAGGTCCTTCACAATCAATATGGAGTCCACCATTCTGCACTGACACTGATTATTCGTAAGTGGAAAACGTTTAAGACAGCTGCTAATCCTCCTGAATAGACATCCCAGCAAATTCACCCGGATGTCCTTTTGGACAAATAAGACTAAATTAGACATGTTTGGCCATACTGTTCAGAGCTTTGTATGGTGAGAAACAAATAGTGATTACAATAAAAATCCTTGTGCCTGTCAAGCACAGTGGWAAAGAGATGATGATTTGCACTTCTTTTGCGGCTTTACAGTACTTTATGAGCTGAGCATGAAGTCAAAGTCATCATTGAATCAACCATGAACCGCTCTGCATATCAGAGTATAAAGTAGATCTCAAGCCCACCAGGAAATCCACAACAAAATGACAAATAAATAAATAAATAAATAARTAAATAARTAAATAAATAAATAAATAAATAAATAAATAAATAAATAAATAAATAATGTTGCTACAATGATTCAGTCAAACTTCTGACCTCAAATGGATTAAAATCTTGTATTGAGACTATAGAACACTGCAGAAACCAATGTCTTTAGTGGTGCTCTCCACTCAGGCCATTTTTAGAACACTAGTCATGTGACCACGTTTATGCATTCGTATGCATACAAACACTGGTAGCAGGCTCCACAGTTATTAATCACAGTGCACAGTTTAGCTGTGTTTAAGCTTAAAGAAATTCAATGCAACCGTGGATTAATATCTGCTCCAAACATTTTATTGTAAGTGAAAGACTACAGGACCACCCTGAACATATCATTGCACTTTTTGCCCCTAAATGAGWACTGTAAACCCTATATCTCATTACTGTGCTGCTAGGTTTACTTCCATAGCATTCRTTCTGCTATAGCCTCGCACGATTTCTACTGTAGTCAGTCACACAAATGTTGTTACACACTAGATGTGGCAACCACAAGTGAGAAGACACTGGTACAAATTGACCTTTTTAACAATTTTGCCCACTTTCTTGTCTGTTGAAGACCTTAACTCTCCAACCAACATTTCAACTGAACATTCCTGTCTCCCAAAGCTGAACATGACAAACGTTTTGCTAGGAACTTTTTTTAATGTTAAGAAAACACTGGATTTTTGTTGAATTCACCTTGCATTTACTATCTTTTTGGGTTAGTCACTACTATTATTGAACTGAAGCAAAGGTTATCTACAACAACGTAAGAATCTAATTTATACATGTCAACCCCTTTGGATGTTTATCTGTATAATGAGCCTCAAAAATCTGTAAATTTCACCAAACATATGTATTAATCACGTGCAGGGGGACATGCAGACTGTCAATCATATAGATGACAGCACCTGCACCRGCGGCAGGATGGCTCAGTGGTTAGCACCAATGCCTCACAGCAAAATCCTGGGTTCGATCCCCAGTTTGAACCTGGGGTCTTTCTGTATGGATTTTGCATGTTCTCCTTATGCTTGCATGGGTTTTCTCCAGGTACTCTGGTTTCCCCCACCCCCAAAAACATGTACAATAGGTTGCCTTCAGGTCCAGGCTACACTTGAAAAAGAGATCTGCGATCTCAATGGGACTTACCTGGTTAAATAATGGTAAATAAATGATAAATAAAGCAGGAGGAAATAAAGATGGTTACTTGATGTTATTTATTGTTTTTTTAACACTCCTACAGGCTCTGACATGATAAATAAATTTGAAACTAAGTTTTTGGAAAGGTCTGCAAAAAAATTGTAAGGTTGCTCTATACATCTATAAAAATCCATAAGGTTGCTCTATACGTTTATGTACCTGCAAATCGAGGGAAGATCTATGTAAATTAYGGACAATCCGTACAACTTGATATGTATGCTAATCACGTCCTRCAAAAAATTACTACAACAAGTTATCGCTGCTAAAAAGCTAATACAAGCTGTTGAATC